GGACAATTAAAACAGACATTCGGGGGGTGGGGAAGAAGAACGAACTGGGGAGGAGGGTAGAGAAAACAGTGCAACAATGAATGAATGAGAACCCAAAATCTCTGTAAATGTTCATTAAAACTAATAAAATTTAATAATAATTTAAAAAAAATCTGTTGTTCATAGTGTTGAACATGATTGGACAGCACCTAACAAAAACAGCAACAACATTGTTTTAGAGAGTGACTTGGCAGAGGTGGGAGAAATGAGTACTTCTTTAGATCAGCAGTTAGGAGGGCCTCCCTGAAACAGTGCCACTGCGATGGAAAGACTGAGATTGAACCCCTCATAGCATGTCCTGCAGGAAGAGCTTTGCAGACTGACAAATGCTTGCCTTGTATGCGGATCAGAAAGGGGGCCAGTATGACTGGAGCATTGTGAGAGAGGGAGGAGATGGTACATAATGAGACTGGAGAGAAGGGCAGGAGCCAGGTCACAAAGTACTTTGTGGGCCATAGCAGGGAGGTTTATTCTAAGAGAGATGGAGACAATGGAAGGTTTTAAGCTGGGTTAGTGAGATGAACCAGCTCGTCTGACCCCATTACATCACACTGCCTGAAAGGAAGTTTTAAATCTGCACAACCTTGTCTGTCTGCTTATTCACCTAGCTATTGAATGGTTAGTAGCTCTCTGTTGTGTTCACACTGGAGTGCATGAGTAGATATGGCTCTGATCTCTTAGAGATGGTTGAATAGAAAAGTAACCAGCTGCCCACAGTGCAGTGTGCTGGTTTCTACAGTGAGGAAAGCAGAGTGTGTGGAAACATTTACAAGGATCCCCTAATCTAGCCTGGGATGGAGTTGTCACAGAAAACTTGCTGAGAGAAAGTATATGAAGAGCTAGCTGTCCATTGTTGTGGAAAATAGAGTACCTGCATTTCATTTTATTGTTAGGCTTGCCTGATATTTCAGTGACCTTCTGAAGGCATTATTATTATTATTTTTTCTTAAAAAAACCCCAACACCAAACACACCCTAAAACTTATTTAGCTATAACTAGGGCAGATATTTTGTTGAGAATTTTAGCAGTATGTACAATGTGGGCATTTTAAACAGACCTTCATAAATATTTTATTGGTTAGCTGAGTAGTAGAATAAGGTTTCTCTTTATGAGAAGCATTTGGTAGGGTAGGCTTATTTTGATTGAATGAATGTTTTTTGTGCTGTTTCCTTAAAACATTTAGAAGGAGACTTTAATGAACATACCAGTTGTTTCTTGTGCTTATTAGTCACAGAATTGAGATCTGAAGTGTTAACAAGAGGGCTAAGGGCAGAGTTTGAAAAACATACTTAAGGTTTAATAAAATGCATATCAATTTCTTCTATCCAGTCATGAAAGTATATTTATTCAAAAGAGTACATCGAACATTTTTTTAAATAGTGTGTTTATGTGAGGGATGTGAGTGTGTTTCAAGGCTTGTGTAACCCTCTCCACAAAGAAATACACAATAGTTCCATGATTCCGAAATATTCTCTTTTGTTGCCTTTTTGTGGTTACACTGCTCCTCCCTCCCCAAACCTTTAGCAACTGGTTGCTCTGTTTCTTGTTCCTATAATTTTATCTTTTCCATAGTGTCATGTAAACGGAATTGTACAGTGTGTAACTTTTTGAAACTGTTCTCTTTTGCTCAGTCTCTGAAATTCATTCATATTTTTTATATATCAGTAATTGCTAGTAGCATTCTATCATGTGTCTCTATAATTGCCCATTGACCATTTGGAGGATATTTGCATTTTTTCTCGATTTTGGTGATTATTAATAAAGCCACAGCAAAGATTTCTGTACAAATTTTGGTGTGAACAAAGGTAAGCAGGTAGGGGTAGAATTGCTTGGTTCATGTGGTAAGTATAAACTGTTATCCAGAGAAGATCTTATTTCATTTTCATCTCCAGGGTATGAGAGTTTCATTTGCTCTTCATTCTCATCAGTATTTGGTATTGTTAGTTTTTAATTTTTAACCATTCTAATACGTATGTGAAATCAAATCAATCTTCAGTAGAATCTTGCTTGCATGTGAAATCAGTCACACTGTTCTGTAGTTTCCACACTCAGTTGGGTCACCTTTCTTTGGAATGGGAACAAATATGGATCTCTTCCTGTCAGTTGGCCAAGTGGTTGTTCTCCAGATTTCTTGGCACAACTTGGTGAGCACATCCAGGGCAACATCTGTTATCTGAAATACTTCAATTG